CAAACACGTTTGAGTCTCTGCAGAAATATTGATCCTTTAACTTCCACCACCTCCCCTTTCCCCTTCCTGTAGGGCAGGCAGAGCTCACAGGGATTCCAGGCTCCTGAAATGGGTTAGGAGGGGAAAAACCCTCCCACAGGACAGCGAGGCTGGGAGAAGCTCTGCTCCACAGCAGGTTCCTGGGAAGGGGAAGAGGGGGAAGATCTGTCTGTGCACCCAGCAGGGAGGAAATACTGGGGGGAAAAACCTGATTGATTATCCCAGACTCGAACCAGAACCTCTTCAAAAGGTCGAGGCAGCGACATTCCCTCTGCTCAGCCCACGGCGGCTCGCGAGACATCCCGAAATTACAATTCCAGCTGGAGGAAGGAGCCCAGGTCAACTTCCAGTGGTGCCACCCAAAGCCAAGCACTGGAAGCTCCAGCCCAGCTCCCACCCCCAGGGCTCAGCACCACCCAAATTCACCTCATCTTGCTGCCTGAACCCTTTTTGAGAGCCAAAGACTCAGCAAACATTTCACCGAAGCAGCTCCTTCCTCAATTTTCCAGCCAAAACACCGAGCTGAGCTTGGGGCAGAGAGGATGAAATGTAAACTTTAAGGAATTTAGAGATTTTAGAGGAGCTAAGATTTTAGTTAGAAATAAGCCTTGCTAGAGTTAATTAAAATAATAATAATAATAATAATAATAAATGAGTAGGCCTTGATGAAGTAAGGAGTTAGTAGGTAACTAATAATTGATTGCTTGTCAGCATAATGCTGAGTTAGCTGGGTTTATAATGAAGAATATAAATTGATAAATAGCTTTTAGGAACATAAGACAATTGTGGCCTCCTCTGTTCTGAAACCAATTGAAGACAAGGAATGGGAGTTCTACCAAGAGTTCATTTGTCAGATTGGCATTGAAAAGGTAGAAAGGTCAGAAGGAGGAAGACAATTCATTGACTTCCTCATTTTGGGACCCCTCCCCATGAAAGGGACACCTGACCCATTTCAAGGAACAAACCACGAATGCTTAATTGCTTTTGAAATAATTAGCATATGAAGCGGGGAATGGGATGTACCAAAATGATGAATATGTATTTGTATTTTGGGTATTTGTATGGATAAAAAGACTCTGTAATCACCTGGAAGCTGCGGTGTGGATTTGGGAACGATCCCACACACAATAAACACAATAAACACAATAAACACACACTTTGTAACTTTAAACTGTCAGAGAGTTTTTGTCCATCACAGCTGGGTATCTGTTCTAGATCAATATCCGTATTTCTTTAATAATTCAGAAATTGTAGCTTTGTAAACATACACTTTCTAACTTTAAACTGTCAGAGAGTTTTTGTCCCTCACAGTTGGATATCGGTACTAGATCAATATCCGTATTTTTTAATAAATCAAGGAGGAGAGCTCAGAGTGTCCCCTCAGCTTTGGGGACCAACACGAGCAGGTTTGGGATGGTTTTTCCTACCCAGCTGGGTGCACAGAGCCCAGGAGGGATCCCTGAAAGCCAAAGGCAGATTTATGGTACCCACCAAGGGTGGGGATTCTGCTGTGGAGGGGGAGGATATTCCCTATTCCATGGCTGAGGGATCACCGGGTGTCCCAGTCCAGTTTCCCATCCAATCCAGCAGCACCTGCTGCCGTGCATCCGCAGGGAAAGCCCAGCAGAAGGTGTCAGACCCAAAGGAAAATCCCTAAAATCCACCTTCACAAGGTTCCTTACAGAATGGGGAAACATTCCCAACCCAAACAAAACAGCCACGGGGGGGGGGAAAAACCCAAATCACAGAACCGAAGGAGAACACGGGCTGGAATTCCCTGCTCGCTTCCCAATCCCAGCCCGGATCCTCCTCTGGAAGCGTTTCCCCACGGCCGCTAGAGGAAGCTGCGACGCCGGGAGAATCCCAAAAATGTCACCGGAGCTGCGGGGACAGCGAGGGCAGCCCCAAGAGCGGCTCCAGCCTTCCCTGCGCTCCCCTGCGCCGGGAAAAACCAAGATCCCGCATTTCTCCAAGGATATCCCGCATTTCTCCAAGGATATCCCGCATTTCTCCAAGGATATCCCGCATTTCTCCAAGGATATCCTGGATTTTTCAAAGGATATCCCGCATTTCTCAAAGGATATCCCGCATTTCCAAGAGGATATCCCGCATTTCTCCAAGGATATCCTGGATTTTTCAAAGGATATTCCGCATTTCTCAAAGGATATCCCGCATTTCCCAAAGGATATCCCGCATTTCTCAAAGGATATCCCGCATTTCCCAAAGGATATCCCGCATTTCTCAAAGGATATCCCTCATTTCTCCAAGGATATCCCAGATTTTTCAAAGGATATCCCGCATTTCTCCAAGGATGACACTGACAGCTTAAAACTCTTTATTTAAATACTTTATTATAATTAAAGCTTAACGCAGTTAACTTTTATATATGTGTATATATATAGATATATATAGATAGATATAAACAATTTCTTCTCTCACTTCCCTAAATGAAAGCTGGATTTAGGGGGATACATTACTTAGGGTGGGGGATTGTTTTTTTGTTTTTCCTTCAAATAAAGTCATTTGTTATACATATAAAAATATATTACTTGGGTCTCCTTTCAGTCACAGGTAACACAAGGGACGGACGAAAGAATGGAAGACGAGCACAAGGACCTCCAAACCAAAAATTAAAACCAGTGGATCGAAGCGTGTGGCACACTTGGAATTTATAGTGCAACAGCGAGGCAGGAACTCCACGTTCTGCGACACAAACATGGCACCACCCAGCCTGGGGACACGTGGGGACACGCGGCCTTGCTCCCCGCAGGGCCACGGCTCCGCAGGACGTGCCAGCACCAAAAACCAGAGGAAGGCTGAACTTCCAAAAGCTGGGACCCGAGCCGCTGGCCCCTGGAGCTGGGCATGGGCTCGCTCCTCTTCCACCCACGTCAAGGGCGGGACACGTGGAAGGACAAGGGGGACACGAGGCTTGGCCCTGCTCCTGCCCCAGGAGGCACAGGGACACAGGAGCAGGGAGCTGGGGCTCCAGGGCACCCCAGGGCACCCCAGAGAATTCCAGAGAATTCCAGAGCACCCCAGGGCACCCCAGAGAATCCCAGAGCATCCCAGAGAATCCCAGAGAGTCCCAGAGAATCCCAGAGACTCCCAGAGCACCCCAGAGCATCTCAGAGAATCCCAGAGCACCCCAGAGAATTCCAGAGAATCCCAGAGCACCCCAGAGCACCCCAGAGAATCCCAGAGCACCCCAGAGCATCTCAGAGAATCCCGGAGAATCCCAGAGCACCCCAGAGGATCCCAGAGCACCCCAGAGAATCCCAGAGCATCTCAGAGCACCCCAGAGCATCCCAGAGCATCCCAGAGAATCCCAGATCACCCCAGAGCATCCTGGGGCATCCCAGAGCACCCCAGAGCACCCCAGAGCATCCCAGAGCATCTCAGAGAATCCCAGAGCACCCCAGAGCACCCCAGAGCATCCCAGAGCACCCCAGAGCACCCCAGAGCACTGCTCTCCACCGGAACAGGCACAGAGAAACCCAGGGAAAGGCCGAGGCACCGCGTGTCCTGCGGGGAGGGACCAGGGGACAATCCGGGGGCGGCTCAGCGCCACCCCGGCATGGAGACAAAAATCCACAGCAAAAGGCCACGAATGTACCCGGAATTTGAGCCCTTCCAGGTCCCCAGCTGAGAGAACAAAGTGCACATTCACTCCTGCCACCGAGCCGGGGCTGCTCCCGGCCCCAGCCGGGCACGTGGGCACAGCAAGGGCTTTGATGCCGCTCCAAGCTCGGCTGCCCGGCGGCTCCGCTCCCACTCCCACGTCTCCCATTCCATTTCCCACCCACCCCGTGACAGCCAGCCCCCAGTTCATCCATTCTCCATTCCCAGCTGCTCTTCTCCACAGTGTTCTTCCCCCAGCTGGTGGCTCAGCAAAGCCACCGAGCTCTTTTGGGACCTCTTTCCCCAGCAGGAGCGAGCCCCAGCGAGCGCGCGCTGCAGACTGGCGCCAGTTTGGCAACCAGCTGGGATGCAAAGGAGCAATTCATAAATAAATAAGTAAACAAATAAATAAACCCACCGCACTTCTCATAGAACCCTCATAAAAAAAAAAACCAACAAAGCAGGGTATGGCACAAGTGAAGTTTTCTAGACCAAACTTCCAATCTCCCTCGTGGTTGTGGCCTTTCCCTCCTCGTCTAAAGCAGGGGAGGGAATTTAAGGATTTAGGCAATCAGGTTTCTGTGATCACAGTGTGTGCCCATGGCTCTGTGTCCTCCTCGTTCCATTGCAGCTGCCCAATTTAAATTGGATCTGAGACAGGGACAGAAGGATAAAAAGCTTCAGGAACAAACAGCGAGCTGAGGGGGGAAAGGCCACGGCGTGAGCTCCCTCATGTCCAGGCACCACTGCAACCACAAAGGCAAATCCCAGCTCTGGAGTGGCCTCACCACAGAGCTCTCCTGGAGATGGGAAATCCATGGGGAAAGAGCTCCAACTGCACAGAGCTCCAGTTTTGGAAGCAGACTCCCTCACCACAGAGCTCTCCTGGAGATGGGAAATACCCAGGATTTAGGAACACTCTGCCTCACCACAGTGGAGATGGGAAATCCTCAGGGAACGGGCTCCATCTGCACAGAGCTCCAGTTTTGGGAGCAGACTCCCTCACCACAGAGCTCCCCTGGAGATGGGAAATCCATGGGGAACGGGCTCCATCTGCACAGAGCTCCAGTTTTAGGAACACTCTGCCTCACCACAGTGGAGAAGGGAAATCCTCAGGGAACGGGCTCCATCTACACAGAGCTCCAGTTTTGGGAGCAGACTTTGCCTCACCACAGTGGAGATGGGAAATCCATGGGGAATAGGCTCCATCTGCACAGAACTCCAGTTGAGGCTTGGAAAACGAGCAACACAGAGAGGGGAGGACAGACGGACAGATGGACGAGCCTCGACAGCAGCAGCTGCAGGAGCCACGCCGGGCGCCCGGGGAAGGCGACGGCGAGTGGGAGCCCCACGGGGCAGGACACGGCGAGGGGCAGGGAGCAAAGCCACGCCACGGGGCTGGCACGGGGGGCCCTCAGAGGGGCAGGTCGGTGCTGTTGTGCCGCGTTTTCCTCGAGGTGCCGTCGTCCCTGGGCAGGGCCCGCTGCAGGCTGGACATGGCCGCCGTCTTCTTGAGGTCGATGATGGCGTAGGAGTTGGCGCGGCGGGCGCCGGGGCTGGCCCGCGGCTCCTGCCGGCCCGGGCAGGGCTCGGGCTCCAGCTCCACCTGGATGTAGTTGAGCTGCCGAGGAGGCTCCGGGCAAGGCCGGGGGAAGTCGAAGCTGAAGACGTTGGGCAGGCGGCTGCGCCGGGCCCTGGGCAGGAAAGCGCGGCGCGGCTGCGAGGCCGCGGAGCTCTGCAGGGGCTCCTCCTCGCCCGCCTCAGAGAAACCATTTGGGGATGGCGTGGGTGCCATGCCAGCGTCCTCGTGCCCCTGCCGGGCCGGCTGCAGCTCCCACAGCGGTGGCAGCGCCGGCAGGTTCTCGTAGTGCAGCAGCGCCGAGCGGCGCTGGCAGCAGCTCCCATCCTCCTGGGACGCCTTGGAGCGGCTCAGGGATGAGGTGCTGGGGGCCACCAGGCCATTGAGGTTCTCATAGACGCACTGTGGGGACGGGCAGCCCTCCTGGCACTCGTTGTTGTTGTTGTTGGGAGGGCAGAGGTGCGGCCGGCGTTGTGGGCACGGCCGGCGGCAGCCGGAGCTGGGAGCCAGCACGAATTTCGCCTCCCCTGGCTGCAGGAAGACCTGGGGGTTTCGGTCTTCCAGGGAGCAGCTGTGGTTCCTAGGGGGGAAAGGAGGGTGGGCTTCAGGCAAGGAGTGCACACAGTGCCGGCCCCTCGGCTCCGGCTCCCCGGTGTTGACGTAGGTGTGGGACTGCAAGGAGAGAAGCAGAGGGACAGTGAAAGGAGGAGACAGCAGAGACCAGAGCAAAGCAGCCGAGAAACCACCACGAGAGGGGAATTCCTCAGTGGCAGGTGAGGAGAAAGGATTCTGGAAGTTGGGAAGGATTTTGGAGGCAAAATGTAGGTGTTGGTTTGGGTTTTGCGGGCTGGGAGAGACAAGAGTGCAGCTGCAGACACACAGTGTGCCCTCACGGATGGATATCTGCAGGAATTTCCTCATGGAAAGGCTGGTCAGCCTTTGGAAGGGGCTGCCCAGGTGTGGACTGCCCATCCCTGGAGGTGTCACCTGGATGTGGCACTGAGTGCTCAGGGTGGGGACTGGGCACAGGTCGGATTTAATCTTTTCCAGCCTCAGCGATTCGGGGTTCTGTGGCATGCTCCGTGCACATCTCACAAACTTCTCACTCCTCGAGTGGCTCACAGGTGATCCCACAACCCTCACACCTGCCCAGGCCACCCTGGCGGTGCCTCAGACCAGCTGGGTTTGGTAGGAAAAATTTTAAAATTCTACAACTGCGAGCAAAGAGCTGAACCTCAAAACCAAAACCGAAAAGAGTCTGAATTGAGGGGTTGTGTGACAGCTGGCGGGTAACTGCACCCAAAAATACCACTGGGCTGAGGATAAAACTCAGTTTTTCTGACAGAACACCAGTTCTAGCAAAGTATCAAAGAGCAGGAGCCTCCAGGAGCAAAAGGAAATAAAGAGAATAAAGAGAGGGACAAGGTGTGGGGGTCCCCTGAGCTTTGGGTGAGGGAAGCCCAGAATTGCACCCAGCAGAGTTGAGCATGGGTTTACCTGCTCCTCAGGCCCCAGGAGGGGGTGGGTAGAGTCTTCCCCCACAGAGGAATGTCTCAGGCTGCTCACTGAGGGGTGCTGCCCTGCAGAGTAGGACAGGGATTCTCCAGGGAAGCTGTGAAATCCATTGGGAAGTCCAGTGTAGCCCAGACCTGTGAGGGAATCAGGGCAGAGGAGCGTTAAATTGGTACAAAATAGAATTATTTGTGCTTCCAGGGTGAGCTGGGCTCTTACTGGTGGGGCCCTGGGGGCTGCGGGGCAGCTCCCGCTCCGAGGGGTGGCTGCTCCTGGTGATCACCACGGGCTCCTCCACCACGTTGATGCTGTTGCACTGCATCAGCTCCTGCAGCAGGTTGAAGATCTCCTCTGCTCGGGAGCACTTGAAGGCAAAAATCCCTGCCGGGGACAGAGAGGAGGGTTAGAACAGCAAGGAAGTGATCCCGCTGCGAAAAATATGTGTCGTTCC